AGTTTAATCAGTGAACTGAGTGTTTACACACCACTATTCTTGAAATTTCAGGTAGAAATAATCACAGTGGTCCCAAAGTGCTCTCCACTGCCACCAATGAATAACAAGGATCTGCAAAGTTCATCGCCACTTCCTCTAACAATCAGCTTTTCACAGTTAAACAAAATGCATTTAGCAATGATGTCGTTATTAAACGGATCGATTTAAACATACATTCAAACAGTTTTAAAATTATTAATAACTCTTTTTAACCATGATCTCTCCATTTTAACATATTTACATTCCAGTTTAACGTGCTTCACAACTACACTCTATGAACTTCATTTAGTACAAGATATTGCAGTGTTTCCCCTACCATTAAAAAAGCAGGGCGCCCCGCCCCATCAGCAGAACCAAGCGCCCTGTCCACTGAACCCCCCACCGTCAGCAGCTGGCAGTATCCATGTAGCGCGGGGCACAATACAAAAACGCTACTAACGTACCACTCTGTTACCCTACGTCGACATTTGCAGCAATGTAGTGCTAAACACAGATGTGCCCCCCGCACCCCCACACTCCCGGTTGATAAAAACCAGCATCAACGTAAGCTAGCAGCTGGGAAACAGTGACTCCATTGACAAAAAGAAAAAATACGACGAGCGCCCTGCCGAGGGCTGTTCTAGTGGAAACACTGTATTGTATACATTTGCACTGGGTTACCGTTGGTTTTACACTTGCTTTCTTCTTGCTGATGTGATTATTAAGAGTTTTGAGTATTTTTATTACGTGCTCATTGCATTTTTAATAGAAGTTCAAGTATCTTTATTGTCGTTCGTATCACATGTGGTACATGAGGTGGAACGAAATTGTGTACTCTTTGAGTATCTTGAGATACTCAAAGAGTACACAATTTCTCAAAGTGCACAATAAGCTTATTCATGTTAGTATTGTGTTGTTCTGCATCACGGTCATTTTGTAAGTGGTTGGCAAACTGCAGAATAAATTGACCCAGGTGAGTTTAATTGTAACCAAAACACCTCGTGTTTATCTTTGACCTGAATCTTGAACACCTATTGAGCATCAAGGGTTGGACAACTGGGAGATCAACTTAGAGAGGCCAGACTGAGATGGTTTGGACATGTCCAGAGGAGGGACAGTGGGTATACTGGTAGAAGGATGTTAGAAATGCAGCTGCCAGTAAAAAGACAGAGGAGATATATGGATGCAGTTAGAGAGGACATGGAGGTAGTTGAGGGGTGTCCAAACATTTTCATATGTGGGCCAAAACCTTGACGATGAAAGGAGTCGCAAGCCACAAAAATATGAAATCGGTAAATAAATAAATATATTAAAAAAACGTACATCTTATTTAGTGGGGTATTTATTTATTTTTTTGGAGAAAGGACAAAATTTACTAATTTTGGTGGAGAAGATGTTCTAAATTATTGTAGATCAAAATGTTAAAAGCTTCATGACCAGTAACGTTTGATTACTTTATTTTTTAAATTAGATTTTATTGATTTATTGCCAGAAATTTGCATTAAACGTAATATTGCTCATTTTGAGCTATTTTTAAAATCCGTTTTGCTGTTAAACCTAAAAATTAAATAAAAAACGATCGTCATTAAATTTGCAGAAAGTCTCCATGAATCTCTTAAGCCTACGGGCCAAAATTGTACCATCCTTAAGCTGCAGTTGTGGGCCACACAAAATCACTCCAAGGGCCACAAATGGCCCCCGGGCCACACTTTGGACACCCCTGAGGTAGTTGGAGCGAGGACAGATGCTGTGGAGACCCCTGAACAGGGAACAGACAAAAGAAAAAGAAACCTAAAAGTCTTCAGAAGTTATTACCGTATTTTTCAGACTATAAGGCACACTTAAAATCCTTTAGTTGTATTAAAACTCATCAGAGAGCCTTACGTATTAATTCTAGTTGTGCTTACTGACCTCGAACCGATTTGATGTGGTACACGGCGCTCAAGAAAACACAGCGAGTGTTCCTGCCGTGGGTTTGTTTCACTTCATGCGCCTTATAGTCTGAAAAATACGTTGCATTGTCGGGTTTGTTTGGTCCTTAAGATCCAGTGAGTCGGTCACATTTTGGACCTCATAACAATTTAAATTATCCTGTTCCTACAAGGCTGAAAGGATAAAAAATTGTTTGTGTAATTCACAAAAATCAGTTCCGTGTGGACGGCCTCTAAGTAATTTATACCAGGAAAAAGACCTAAAAAGCTAACAAACCTGCGCACACACACACACACACACACACACACAGAGCACGCTGTTGTTGTTAATCACATACTACATGTACTGTTCTGCGCTGAGAAAAGAGAACCGTGCATGACATGCACATTTTTCATAACAAGCTTTAAAAACAAACTGAACAGGGATGTGTAGCGTCTAAAAGAAGCGGTGGAAAGAGGAACAGAGCAGAGACGGAACAAATAAGAAATAACGGAGAAAACAAAAAGAGCGGACGAGAACAAGCCGACCAAAGGTGAAGCAGAAGATGTCCTGTTTCTCTCAGTTCCTCGCCTGCCTCGTTTGTCTTCTACGCCCGTTTCCATATTCGTTTGTTCTGCCGCTGCAGTGAACGTTCAAACTGTTGTCCTGTTTTTGTTTTCAGAGGAAAAAGAAACGCCGTTTAGTGTCTCGAACACTGAAAATGGTCAAACAGAACAGAAACTATCATTATCTGCGTTCCCTTCTGACGATCTGGTGATCTGGGAGTCGGTGACACGCTTTTCTGTTTTGTTTCTGCACATGCTCAGTAAATGACCTCCTGTTTCACTTCCTGGTACGAAGACACCGTCACGGTATGACTAGGCAGAAGCCGCGAGGATAGTATGTACAACTTCTGTTCATACACGTTTACTTTAAGGTGGTAGAAAATGGGTCTGGGCCTCCCCTTCTTGCAGAATCCAGAGTTTGAGTGCATTGAGCCTCGGTGACTAGAAGTGGACTCTTGCAGAAGAAAACGCTGTAGTTTTGCTCACTGTTCACCCGTTTAACACGGTTTCTATGCAAGGCTGTTCAATTATTAAGGGATTACTCACTGCTGTTCAGCTTTTCTGTTTTAGATGAAAAACATCCTAAACCCTCATTTTCTTCACTCTGTATAGCTCTCAAGAACATATGTGCAGGGAAATAAGTGTCTTTTTTTTTTTTTTTTTTTTTTACCATAACGTGCCAGTGTGTGATGGGCACATTTGTGTGTGTGCAGTGTCTGACCCAGAAAAGTTTTCCCACAGGCCATTTGGAGAACAAATGCAGAGACTAAAGCACATGTGCGCTCACGCACGCAAACACAAAACAGGGTTTTTGACCCACACACGTCCAGACAGAGAGACGGATGTGATGAGCTTACGTGTTGCCTCTGTTTACGCAGCGGAGCACGACTCTTCAGGGCCGCAATGATTTGGCAACACAGCTTGTCACCTATTGATATGACAAGATATTCAAGATGTTTTTCCTTCATTTATAACTTTGCTTTTTAGCACATTACAGTGCTAAAATGTGATATACAGTAGTCCCTCGTTTATCACGGGAATCCGTACCCTGAAGACCCGCGATAAGTGAAAAACCACAAAGTAGGAATAGTCGTACAAGTAGTAAGAAGTAGTTTATTTTAGTGTATATATATATATATAAAGGTGTTTTAAACCATTCACACACTATATTCTAAACAATGTTTCTAAACTCTAAACCAGAACTATTCAGCTAAACTGCTCAGGGGGGCACAGTTTCTGAAGGCCAACAGCTCGGGGGCCGGACCTCCAGCGATTAAAATCATTATGTAAATAAAACAATGTTTACAATAATCTGTTAACGTTTAAATTTGTTTATTTCATTGCATTGAATCATAAATGCAATAAACAGAACCCAAAACTAGAACCCCCCCCCCCCCCAAAAAAAATAAAAAAATAATGAAGTGGGCCAGATTATAGTTACCCACAGGCCGTCAGTTGAATAGCTCTGCTCTCAACGCTCTAAAAGAGCACGGCATGTCATGATTTCAGCTCTCTGCCTCCAGCTGCACTCTCAGCCACGCCCACTTCTTCGCTCTGCATGGAGATCAGCTGATCAGCTGCAGGAGGAAGCTTCTCCCACAGCTGTGGGCTGCACACAGGTGCTAAATCATTTAAAATAATTTATTTTAAATTAAAAAATTTCGTACCGATCGTGCGGCGCATCCATCATTCAGCCAATTGTGTGTCATGTCCAATCTTACTTTGAAAAACCGCGATAGAGCGAGTCCACAATAAACGAACCGCCAAGTAGTGAGGGACTACTGTAGTATAAAAAATTGATATGTGTTGTTTTTTTTTGTGCAGCCAAAGACCAGAGGCGATAATGTTTTTGCCTTTGTCTCTGGGTGGGTGCAAAATTAGCAAAATATCTTGTGGAGCAGTAGATGGATTTTTATGAAACTCAGAAAGGAGTTAGATTAACTAACAAATACCTTGACTGCTAAGACGTTTTATATAAGATATGCTTAAAAAAATCACAACAAATAGCTGTTTTATATTCAACTGTTTTTATCTGTTAGCAAAATATCTCTAGAGCAATTGGGACAGTTTTATTGAAACTCACGAACGCACATCGATGACCTCAAAAGTTCATTCGCTTCTTTTAATGTCATGTTGGTGTTGACTCAGGTCCATTAGCTCTAACAAGAGTTACTGCAGTCTTTACACTGTGATCTGTTTTAACCATTAGAGACATTTTGATGTTTTTAGGATTTAAGATTTGACAATGAAGTGCTTTTCCTTTTGTTAGCCCACACGTTGCATGTGCTGTCATCCTGCGTGACTCAGTCTGTTTGACGAGCAGAAGTCGTCTCGCTCCGGGGCACACGGGTTGAACTAAGGTTCCATCGATAGCAGCCACATGTTTGGTCACAGCCCCTGATGGAAATATAAACGGTGACTGTTTAACAACAAGGTCACCGTGCCTCAGCGGCGTGGGTGCCGGCTGCTTGCGTAGTTTTTAATGAGTCACAATTTGTCTTTCAGGGGCCGAGTGTTTACCCTCAACTTTGGCACAATGCGAGTGTGCGACCTCGAGTTGGACTGCGTCCGGCGGCTGACCACTCCCCCCAGCCCTCTGCCCGCGCCTGCGACGAACCCGAACCCCACGCCCAGCTGTCACACGGTGTGGAAATACTACTGCAGAGACAACTTTGGCTGGAGGGAATACTCCGAGGTAAGCTGGTGTTGTGATGTGCGTGTCTGTTTGCACACTCTGTGAACATGTGACGTATTAACTTTGTCTGAATCACGGGTGTCCAAAGTGTGGTCCGAGGGCCATTTGCGGCCCTTGGAGTGATTTTGTGCGGTCCACAACTGCAGTTTACGAATGGTATCATTTTGGTTTAAGAGGTCAATGCAGACTTTTTGCAAATTAGTTGGTAATCCTTTTTTATATAAAGTTTAGGTTTAACAGCAAAACTGATGTAAAACTTTTCACAAGGAGCAATATTAAAACAAAATACAAACCTTGGACTAATATTTTTATTTTCACTTCATGGTACAAGGCACCAAAAACCTTCACTGATTTCTACATAAAGGAGACTTTTGGATAAAGATTCATAAAACTTGACTAAATATTACAGTTAATACAATAATCAAGAGGGAAACTGGACCTTTTTAAATGAATATAACGTGGTGTCATCTACGTACGAGTTGATCAGCTTTATCAAACCTATGAATCTTGTAGAGACTGACAGCTGGACGATTTTTCAGAACTTTGATCAGCCTTTTGGGTCGTCCATGGTCCAAAAGGCTGATTGACCCCCTTTTAAAAGGACTCTTACTCAAATTACACTTTTGTTGCTGAGAACAGACTAAAATAAACTTTCCAAACACAAGAAAACGACAAACATAGATCCAACAAATCAGATCATTTTTAATAATAAAAAAATAAAAAAAAGCTTAGTGTTTATGAGGCTTTTAATGTTTTGGATCTTCAACAATTTTAAACTCTTTCTCCACCAAAATTAGTAAACTTTTATCCTTTCTCTAAAATATTGTTCACGTTGAGTTAAATTCACATTTTTGTGGCTCACGAGTCCTTTCATCCTGATAGTTTTGGCCCTCGTATGAAAGCGTTTGGACACCCCTGCTCTAAATCAATCAGCTGAGTAGAAGCTGTGATTGGATCGATTCTGAAGCACATGCACTCTCACGTGCTCACAAACACGTTCTAATCCCTACTTTTGACACACCTGAACACAGTTCATGCTCACCCTCCAGGATCAGTTTTCTTGTTATTCTTTAAAATCTCCATAATGTTTGCCTCGTGTGAGTTTTCTATTTTATTATTAATTTTGTTCCTCCTTCTTTAAAACAATGAAACTTGCGTTGTCAGCTGCTGAAAAATGAAACAAACCGATCTCAACTTCTCCCTTTTCGTTTTTTTTTTTTGTCCTCCACAGCCGGTGGTGAAGCTCATTGAGGAGGCGAGCTTGAGGGGCTTGAAGGAGGTGCGGTTCATCACGCTGCAGAACCAGTACATCCTCAACATCAAGGAGGGCTTCCAGCAGAACGCTGTGTTCGGCTTCAGGCGGCAGATCAAGAAAAGGCCCATGTTCATGTCGTCCGTGATGCTCACGCCACACCTACAGTAAGTGTCTCGGTTCATGCACGATCTAATTCTACTGGGCCATACTGGTCCTGGTGAGCCATAATGGATGCTGCAGGTGATTCAAAGCTTAATATCCAGACAAAAATCACTTCAGCTGAACTGTGCAAATCTAATGACATGCCCATCAGTTTTAGTAGGATTATCTTAATCCTAAAAAATGTGATTGTGCAGCTTCTAACAAACAACTAAAAAAGCCCCTGTTGGATATTAGCTTACCAATGTTAGCATCTTTGACTGCCTCTGTTTTGCTCCAAGCTATTAAACTTTTTTACCCCCATTTAGTTTTAATTGTTTTTAAGCTGCCATGGCAAAACTGCAATGTGTGGCCTTGCATGTGATCTATACTTTTGTTAGGTGATTTGTTACAAAATGCCCAAAAAAGAACAACAAAATCCCACAAAAAGTCTCTTAAAACAAACATTTTACTAAACTTGTAAACTTCTACCATAGAATACCATTTTATCCAATGGTTTTAAGTCACAGGGGAGCAGGAACAACTAATGTGAAAATTCATGCAAAAAAACAAACAAACATTGCAAACAGCTCCAACATTTTCCTCTTGAAGTTATGCAACAGCTGTTAAGCAGCTTGTTCTAATTTTGCAAGTCGTACAAACCGATGAGATGAAGTTTGCAAACTAAACATAGATGCAAATTAAAAATGAACCTATTTGATCCTGACTTGAAGATAAAGTTAATCAAAAAGCATCCAGGTTCTCATTTCTCTTGTCTTTTTTTGTGTAAAGGGTCGACATTGCTCTGTGATTTTGTCAAAAAGCATTTTATATTTCCAAAACAAGTTGTTTATGTAAGCTTAAGTGGCAGGCAGCACTGCTGTGTAACTCTTACTGAAAGTTGGCCGGTCGATGTGTAACACGCCGTCTCCTCACAGCTCCCTGTGTTCCCTGGGCGTCCTGACTTTGTGTTTATAGACGTGCAGGCACATCGAGGCCAGTACACGATGCCAATGTCACAGTCAGGGCTGAATACTCCAAAGGCTCTGGGCTCAACATCCATTTTTAATCCAATCTGGTAACGCTGCAAGCTGGCAGCTTGAACTGAACTGGAAACCTTATAAATTAACACTTATCTCAGGTCAGATATTTAGCAAGTCGAGCAGGGTCACCAGCTCACAGAGGTAGACAGATGGAAAACATGAAACCAGACAAGAGAGATGCCGAAAAGAGAGGAAAGCCAACATTCCTTAAAACAATCTGTTTTTGTCCTTTTTTTTTTTTAACAATTGCTGATTTTCTTCAAAGTAAAGCAAATATATCTTCAATTCATTCAAAAACAATAAATTCTTTGAAGTCTGCTTCAATAGACTTGTTCTTTTTTGTTTTTGTTTTTGTTTTTTTAGCTTTGAGCAGTCCTTTAGCTACTTTTAGCTTTAGCTTGACTTTAGGTACATTTTATTTTCAGGGCCTAGTCTGTCACTTTTTGATACCTTTTTGCTCTTTATAGTTTCTAGCTTGCCTTTTACCTATTTTTGCTAGCATTTGCTACTATTAGCTAGTCTTTCATTACTTTTAGCTTACCTTTTGCTGTTTTTAGCTATTGTTTTGCTACTTTTTGCTTCTAGCTCCCTTTTTGTTACTGTAGAATATTGACTGTGAACACAGTAATATTGAATATTGGCCTCTCACAGATGCCGTAGATCTGCAAATGTGTAGTAATGTCCTTAGCACCAATAACTACCAGCAGGTGCATATGAGCAGGTGCCTATTGAATGTCTCCCGCAGGGTGTGTATATTAAAGAGCATGTTCTGAGTTAAGTCGATCGCTTTTATTCCCACAACACATAACTTGGTGTCAGAAGTGGGATACGAACCCACGCCTCCACACAACAGTTACATTTTGGTTTGTAGCTAGTGTTTTAGCTTTTTTTTTTCATAATGTTCTGCTACTTTTAACTAGCAATATTCTACTTTTGCTTTTTAATTAGTGTTTTTTTTATTTTAGATTTTTTTTTTTTTTTACAAATGTTTTGGTATTTTTAATTTTTTAGCAACATTTGCTACTTTAAGCTGTTAGCTAGTGAAAAACTAGTGTTCTAGTTCTTGCTTTCAACCACCCACTTTCTTCAGCAAATTTCAGCAGTCATTCAGCATTTAGCTTCTAAATGAACCTGATGTTCTGCCAACTTCCTGTCTTTGCATAAAAGTCGATGTATGTGCCCCACCCTCCTATTTTCAGAGCAAGTGATAACTGATTGAAAACGAGTGGAGTCGTTCTCCACCTTTAGCTGATTTATTTTTCGCTTCTTGTGCCGAACAGGCTCTATAGCTAGCTGTGTCCTGCCAGTTTCCTCACACTTAACGAACGCCAGAACAAGCTGTTCCCACCTGGCTGGGATGGTCAAGAGAAATGGGGAACAGGAGATGGAGGAAAGTAATGGGGAGGATTTTAAACCGGGGGGAAGCAATGCCAGACTAGAGAGTTGGATAAAAATGCAGCTGGAAAGTTCTGAATGGTTTCCAGACTGGGAGCTGAAGCTGTCGATGAGGGAAACTTTACTGCAGAGCTGGAGTTTGAACTGGACTTCGATGAGTCATCACATCAAGCCACAAAAGGACTTGCTTTGGACTGTAAGGAAGTGTTAACCTCAGCAACCTCTTGTTTCTTTCGTCATCTCTACCTCTACCTGAGAACCGATCAACAGAGGATGCAATCTCCTCTGTGGTCCACACTGCGCTCAACCACCTGGAGCAGAAAAACTCTTACGTCCGTATGCTCTTTGTGGACTTCACATCCGCCTTCAACACCATGATCCCCCAAACCCTGATGGACAAACTATCCACACTAGGACTAAGCCCCTCCATCTGCAACTGGGTACTAGACTTTTTAACAAACAGACCACAGTTAGTGAGGATCCACAACCTCTCCTCCTCCACCATAACCCTCAGCACTGGCTCTCCTCAGGGATGTGTGTTGAGCCCCCTCCTGTTTACTCTGCTCACATATGATTGTGCAGCTACCCATCCAGGCTGTCACATTGTAAAGTTTGCAGATGATACAGCGGTGGTGGGATGCATCACAAACAATGATGAGTCCAGCTACAGGCAGGAGGTGGAACACCTGGAGAGCTGGTGCAGAGAGAATAACCTTCACATCAATGTGAAGAAGACAAAGGAGATGATTGTGGACTTCAGAAGGAACAAAAACACCTACACCCCCCTGAACATAAGAGGATCTGCGGTGGAAGTGGTCTCCAGCTACAAGTACTTGGGTGTACACATGAATGACAACCTCAGCTGGAGCAACAACACCACCAGCCTGATCAAGAAAGCTCATCAGAGACTCTACTTCCTCAGACGGCTGAGGCGAGCTGGTCTGGGAAGCTCAGTCCTCACCTCCTTCTACAGATGTGCAGTGGAGAGCATCCTGTGCTCCAGCATCAACGTGTGGCATGGAGGCTGCACAGCTGCAGAAAGAAAAGCTTTGCAGAGAGTGGTGAAGGCTGCACAGAAATCTGTTGGAGTCAGTCTCCCCACCATCACAGACATCTACACCTCCAGATGCAGGAAGAGGGCCACCTGCATCATGAAGGACCCCACCCACCCAGCACACACACTTTTTGCCCCACTCCCCTCAGGAAGGAGGTTAAGGAGCATTAAGTGTAGAACCACTAGACTGAGGAACAGCTTCTACCCTGAGGCTGTTAGACTCATGAATCTCTAACTAGAATAATCACTGTGAAAAACCATATCATGTTGTTGCTGATCTGTTTCATGTTGCTGCTGATCTGTTTCAATGTTGATGTGTTCATGCGTGCACATCTGCTCACAGACTCATGTTCATGTTTGTGCTGATGTTCAATGTTTTATGTTATGAGTGCTTAGTGTATATTTAGTTGATGTTTTTCTTAGTTCATATCTTAGATGTTGTTACTGTTTTTCTTATACATTTTATTGTTGGATGTAACTGGGACCCTGTGTACATAATTTCGCTCCACCACATGTACCACATGAGGTGCGAATGACAATAAAGAAACTCTGACTCTGACTCTGACTCCTGATTGATGTTATTTTCAGCTCCCTCTCCTGTTATCTTCCCTAATCTCTCTCACTCACTCCTTTTTTTTTTTAACGTCCAACTCCGTCATTCTTTTGTTATCAGTTCCTTTTTCGTTTCTCACTTGCTTTCTGCAGCAGGCTGCCTGTGATCTCCTTTAAGCAAACAGGGAATAGGTGCGTGCTTGTGTGTGTGCGTGCATGCAACCGGACAGACAAGATAAGAGATAGGGGGAGAAAAGAGATGAGAATAACTGCCACACCAACGTCTCTCGCCTCTCGATAACACACACACTTTCATAGACGATAGAGCTAACAGCATTTACACTTAGAGGGTGATAACTTGACAGTAAAACTACTGTTACTGACTCAAATGCCAGACATGGTACGGATTTTTTGGCACTTGGGTGACAGCTCCACAATTGGCATTTTATTTCTCTACCTCAATCCTATTCTAGCTCCCGTCCCCCTCCTCTGGTTGCCTTGTTTTGTCGTCTGGATTTCATTTGTGTTGTTTCATTCAGAGTTCTGACGGCTGATGTGGAGAGAGGCGCCACCCCGCAGTGTATGCCTGTCACGACTGACAGTTGTTGCAATACGATTTTGAGACGTGTGGGCTCGTCCCAGCAGACGGAGGGTTTTGTTCCACGGTCAGGACATGGTGTTGATTTGAAACAAGGTGGCGCAGGAACGTGCAGGGGTACAGTTTACCAGACGGATGCTGACATGCAGGCATCACTGGCAGGAATTTCACCGCATTGATGGGCTTTTGATGATTTCCTGAGGTAGCCAGTCCACAGCAGTTTGGCTTTAAAGCAATTTGCTCATAATTTGCCATGAGGTTTATTCCCCTGATAGGTAAGTTACGATACATAGCAAGTGCTCATGCTTACCACGATTTTGACTCATTTGTTGCTGTAAAAGCGCAGAGCTGTAGAGCTGTAGAGCGACAACACAAAGCGTCAAAGAAGACGCCCCAGTCGTTGAAGCACACAGTCACAGTGGAAGCTTTTGAATAAGACGCAGCAACATTTCATCACAAAGTGCTTCTAGCTCAAAGTAATCATCCCAGTTCCAGCCCCTGTTGTTCTGGGTGGCAAGGCTCAGAGTTTGGAAGTTTGCAAAGAATTATGTGCGATGTGTCGTGTGCGGGTTTAACATTTTAAGTATGTTTTAGGAAACATTTGTGTTTCCTGTGTTTAGCAGTGTTACATAATGTTTCCACAAATCTGTTTGAGTTCACAGATTCAAACATTAAGTACATTTTTAAGTAGACAAACCGAAAATATATGTTTTATCTTGACAAATTGATCAAGTGAACCACACTGTTCTAAATGTGATTTAGAATGTGATTAAAGTGTACGCTTGTCTGTATATTGTGGATAAAATAAGCACACTACACATAGCTGAATTCAAATATTGCCCACTCTGATCATGGTTTTATTAAGCTATTATATTTATTCATACAGAAACAAACAAAAGAGGTGTTTAATTTACACGTTTTGTCTTTTTTTTTTTCCTCAGAACGTTGGGCGGCCTCTCTTTATCGCCCCTCTCCTCCTCTTCTTCCACCTCTGTCTCCACATCCTTGGACACCTCACACCCGCTGTCACCAACCACCACCAACCCACCCAGCCTCTTTCCTGAGACATGGTTGCCAATGACGATGAGTCAGGACTTCCTGCGGGTGCCTGTGTCCCGTGAAGATCGCAGCTACCGGACGGTGCACAGCCTGTTCCACAAGACCGTGTCGGAAACCAAGTTCAGGATCATCAAGATTCAGCGTGTGCAAAACCCCTTCCTCTGGGAGAAGTACAAGAGGTGAGGGCAGAAGCATCATTTCCATAGATCTTAACAAGCTTATTGTTAACACAAGTCCCTTTCCTGCTGAGGTCATTGAGTTCGCTGCTGGCAGGTTTGATGTATTCATGTGTTTTGCATGCATTTTTTTATTTGCATCATTTGTGGTAGAGTTGTGGCTTTGGGCTTGAAATCTTTTCTTTGTTTGTTTTTGTAATTGATCTGAAGTAAAATGACCGCTTGTTACAGAGTCACAACTCTAATAATGAGTGCAGGAGTTTGTTTGGACTGTTTGGAAATGTAACTCACCTGAAAGCAAAGTGGTCATAGGTTAGAGGCATAGATCTGGATCAGACGGTTCAGATCTTGTGTTAAATATCTGTCTTGGGTGATTTGACTGCGAGTGGACAGCTCTGTTTGAGCGCTCACACCCGGGGGGGGGGGTTAAAGTGTATCCCAAGATGTTTTTGTAATCGCACATCAGTTACCCGCTCTGTATGCAAATACACACACAAAGCCACACTGGAGTGTCTGATCGGCACCAGTGTCGGCAGCTCTGCTGACGTTTCTATAAAAAATGACATTTAAACATTTGAACTGTATTACTATTTTGACTAACGTGGTTCAGAGCCATTTGACTCTTATTTTGTGGCGTTATCTCTAAATCCTGATTACTCAGCTCTGTCAGAGCAAAGACGGGAGATTTGGCTGCTGTTTTCTGCACAACTTTACTGTGAATGTGTCATCAGTCCTCTGTTTAAGTGGGTGAATGTAATGTGATGTAATCCAACAAAGTTCAGTCAGGTCATCTGGACAGTTTCTTTTTTTTGTTGTTGTTGTTGAGATGTTTCGTCCTTCATCCAAAGGACTTCATCAGTCCGAGGAGCCACAACAAGCCGAGTCCCACAAGCAGCACACTCGTATAGTGAGCCATCCAGTTTGCTGGTGATCAAATGGTTTTTGAAGTTTTGATTAGGGGTGCACTGATTGCAGTTTTCTGACCGATTTCTAAAAAGTCTGACCTGCCGACACCGATTTTGTTCAATAAGCGACACCGTCACAATAAGGTCACAATGCACCTTCAATTTTCCAATCTTATTTTATTGAAAAACATACCCTCGAACAATGTCCTAGAAACAATACAAACTTGTTTTAACTGTCCATGAGGTAGTGCTCTGAAATATAAATGAAGTTCAGAAAATTGTTGTTAAAACTACAAAAAATCGGTTTCTCATATAAGTATCGGCCCATCGCTGAGCGCCCAAAATTGAGGAAATTGGGCTGATAAATCTGTGCACCTCTAGTTTTGATGTTTTGAACCACTTTGGCTATGGCTGCCTCAGAGGAGTTGACGGGGAAGAGGGCGAGTCCCAGAACCCATCTTACCACCGACAAACTGGTCGGTCCACTTTGTGAGTGTGCTGCTTGTGAGATTCGGCTTGTTGTGGCTCCTTGGACTGATGAAGTTCTTTGAATGAAGGACAAAACATCTGAACCAAAAAAAAGAAACGTCCAGATGACCCGACTGAACTTTGTTGGATTTTCTACCTGGATTATTGAGCATGAACTTTGATGTTTTGAACCGATGTGCTGTAATGTTAGTCAGACGGTTGTCTTGTGATTGACAGCACATTTTACTGTACAGTGACACCAGCGTGTCCAGTCAACTCTGAAAACAATAGAACAAATGTCACACTAAAGAGACAACCACCACGCCTCACTAGGATTGCGCGATATAAACGGTATACGGTAGAAACAATAGAAATTTAGCCTACGATAGAGATCTGTCTTCTACTGGCTAACCGCAGTAATTCTGTGTCTGAAGTAAAATCAGAGTTGTCAGTTTAATCATTACTTTTTTTTAGTTAAAAACTGTGCGCAAGTGGCGTTAGTCATTTCTTCAAGAGCTAAGTAGCGAAGCTACAAGCTAACTACAGCCGGCTTGCCGTAGTGTTGCCGTATTCTGACGCATACGCAAAACGCTGAGTTCCGTCGAAAGTTTTTTTTTTTGTTTTGTTTTTTTTTCCATCGAAAGTTAAAGTAAGCGTTGGTCAGCTTTAGAGAAACCTGCTCTCTGATCTGTGAAAAGGACACTGTGTTGTGTGATTTTACTGTGAGACCCTCTGGTCAAAGCCACAGATTCATTTTGTGTCAGTTCTCCATTAAAGCTGAAGGCGTCGCCAACTAGAGGTTTGGAGGGTGAAGTGTTTCAGTGTAAAATGCTGCTCTGTTGCTGTTCATTAAGTGAGAATACTGGAAACTGTTAAAAGTTAACAACATATTATTTTGTTTAAAACATATGGCTAAAACTATATTTGATATATTTTGCACTGTTTAGCTCTACAAGAAAGAAGCCTAATACTTGATTTGTTTATTATTTTAAAACTGTCTGAACCTAGTAGTGGAATTTTTTTAAAATTCAAAATATGATGGCAAAAGGACACCCTATGCTTTTTTTAGCAAGTTTTATACCAAAAACATATCGTGATATATATCGTTATCGCCACCCTTCACAATACATATCGCGATATGAATTTTATGCCATATCGCACATTCCTACGCCTCACCCTTTAATCCGCTCCGTACTCCCAAGGATGGCCGTAGCTTTTTCCCTTCGTTCCTCAAGGCCAGGTATAGATTCGGGTAATAACTCAGCTGCGTGTTTAGTTTTTCATTGAGCATTGTGTTCAGACTGCTGATAAAAATGGGACCAGACTACTTCTGATGAGGCTCTTAGTGAAATTGTTTTCAATACTATCCAAATGCAACTACAGTAGTCCCTCAATTATCGCAGGGGTTATGTTCCACACATCCCCGCGATAGGTGAAAAACCACAAAGTAGGAATGCTATATTATTTTCGTATTTATACATATATTAAGGCTTTATAAACCCTTTCCACACTCTTACAATGTTCTAAATTCTTAAACCTATGTAATTTTACCAATGTGTATATGTACTGTACAGTACTGCAAAATTTTGCCCACCAGCTCTGCAGACCAGCAGCTTGGTTCTGGTTCTGCAGACCTACCCTGCAGCGACGAAGCCCACAATCCAGGTTGATGTGCGCGTGGATAATTGAGCTTCAGGACTATTTCCTGCCACTTCTGAGAGTTTCATAGATAGATCGTTACTTCTGACTTTGCTTTGGAAAAAGCTTTCCCACATTTCAGCAGAAAGCAGCAGCCGGACGCACTGTTGGCTTCTGGGTATTGTAGTTCTTTTGACTTGCCTTACAGTATAGGCTTATTGAACGAAAACGACAAAATGTCAGCGCCTGTCCGAAGTATTTCTTTAATTTTTTAAAACTTTTTATCTCGTACCATCCCAATCACGTGAGTAATATTAAAGTTGACCATCGTTGAAAAACCGCGAAAGAGCGATGGACTACTGTACACAGCTATGCGAGGCAGAACCAGGTTTGAACAGGACTTACCAGAATCCAAGTGATGCTACTGTGGTGCATGTAGCTCTTTATAGTCTCACAAACAGAAACCATTCTAACCCAAGACTTAGATTAAATCTCACATAATCTATCGCATCAGGTCAAAAAGTGTTGGAAACGTCTGAATAATGATGGGGAAAAAAAACAACCTTGAAGCTAAACGAAAGTAGATGCAAAAAAAGGGTGCAAACTCGACAAACAAACAAAACTAGGCCAAACGGTACGAGCTTCGTGGGACTTCGTGAGAACGACTCGAGGGGTGTGTGAACACGGCAGGTGGAGAGATGTTTGGTGACGGTGATGTTCCTGTTGTGAACGCAGCAAGTTAACCGCTTGGTTGTGACAGTTAAAGCCTCGCACACCGACCGCTGCCACGCAGTTTCACAATGACTCCACGGTGTGTGTTTGTGCGCAGGTGTCGCTATCGCTGCCTCTGAAAGTGCTGCGCTCCTCTGATTGCTTTTTTAAAATTCCTTTTCCTCACACGCTGGTTATATGTCAGCAAAACCATAAACTCCTGTTTGCATGTTTGTGCCGTTCGTTTGATGCGAGCTGTGATGGAAAGTGGAATTAAAATGGTCTAGCAGGAAATTCGGAGCGTGTGAGTGAACTGGAGTGTCATTTCAGAGGCTGAGAGTTCACGTAGGGGTCATGACACTCGCGACACCAAAGGCTTCCTCCTGTCTAATTGATCTGATTAACGCTGCTCAGGAAACAGAAAAGAGACAAAGTTTTTATCTTTAGGTTTGGATTTAGCTGTTTTTAATCCCGTCTGCCTGCTCCAACAGGAAGAAGGAGTACATGTCGCGCCGTATGTCCGAGATGGACCGCCTCCTGAGCGAGCGTCACCTCTTCCACGGCACCTCGGCCGACGTTGTGGACGGCATCTGCAAGCACAACTTCGACCCAAGGGTTTGCGGCAAGCATGCCACCATGTTCGGCCAGGGTTCCTACTTTGCCCGCAAGGCTGTCTACTCCCACAACTTTTCCAAGCGCTCGCCCAAAGGAGTCCACTGCATGTTCCTGGCCAAAGTCCTCACCGGCAGGTGCGTGGTTGTTCAAGCCAGTGGAGAAATGTTCTGGAAATAAGGCGCTTTACGTTAGCGCATTAGCAACTGATTTTTAAAAGTTATTTAATTTGTTTGTTTGTTACAAGATGAGCTCATTTCCACAAGCAGCACTTTTTTTATACAAGTGATGCGTCGTTTAATTCTTTGTTCCACTCGGGCTCCTCAGCCCGCCAACTACAGGTTGGTCGATATGGCTCAAATATAACATTGTGATATTTCAGAGCAGTCTGACGATAATACATTTTGTGATATAACAAAAAAGAAACAGAAATCATAGTTATTCATTTGACAAAATTAACGACATGTTGCATTGCAGTATTATACAAAAATAAAAATAAACCAACAGGTTAGTTTTGCTGAAATTACTTTAGTAAAGTATTCAGTCTCCAAGTATAAAAATAAAAAATAAAAAAAAGATCATTCTGTTATTTGGATTGAAAACATCTGCACAAAATATAGATCAGCAAAATCCACCACAAAAACTAAAGTGCAGGTGACGTTTCCCAAAATAACTCAAAATAAAGCTTAAGATCTGTTGAGCATAAACAACAAAATATATGTTTCCTTTAAATGAGCTATAACTTCCAGAAGTTGTAACAAGGTGATCAGCTGACCCTGAAGCTTGTGGTGTTTCTTCTTCCTCTGTTCCTGCAGGAATGATTCATTTCTCTGATCACCTGACTCTGATCACCTGACTCTGATCTTGGTCCATGGACTGTGGAGCCAGGGCTGGGGTGGTGGTGGGGGGGAGGGGGGGGCACAGCTGAGCTGAGCTGCGCGTTGTTTGTTTTTAGCTTTTTAGTTAGCTAGTATTGCACACGGCTAGCTTAGCGTTACGCCAGTACTGACAGGTGGTGGGGGGGGGGGGGGGGGGGTGTTCAGTTCGGTAGTTCGGCGCGCTCGGTTCTGTTAACGGGGCGGGGCGCCCCGCTTGTATAATGGCAGGGGAAACACTGATGTACTTACGTCATGAAATTAGCATATCATGATATAATTTATTTTCCCGGGCAAGTTTTTTTTTACTGGTATTATCGTGAGCGATATGATATGGCCCAGCCCTGCTGCCAACCACATTTTGCTTTGACGTGGGGGATGATGAAATCATTTTATTAAACTTTAAATCAACGCCGCACGTTTCTCAGTTTTATTCGTTTTTGCACAATTCACCGTCCTTGATGCACAGTTTGATGAGTTTGACAGCTACGTACATCTTTATATCTCTTTGAACCCTAATCTCCTGCTTTCCGTCACTCTCACCAAGCCTAAATTTACCAAACCCATCGGTGTTAATTTGGATCATGAAAATCCTGAGGTTCTTTTCCATAAACCATCTTTCAGCCGTGCTGTGCTGCTCCGGTTCCTTCAGACAAAAGTCAAATCTGCAGCCTCACATGTAAAACAGCTGATTTGGCTGGACCCATCAGCACATCAGCACCTTTGTTATGCTGGAACAGATGGTCCATGGTTGGTAGTGGTTTTTGAAAGCCTCCCCCACCCTCGATCACTCTGTGACTCTTAACTTGGGTCTGATCTGTTCCACAGAACAAACCTTCAGACTGAGCTGGGTTTTAAACTGATCATGTTTGCAGATGACACTGCTCTTCTTTGAACAAGTTTTATTTATGGCTCAGGAGACACGGGTGCTGATGGAGGACAGCTGTTTAGAATTTGACTTGATAGTTAAAAAACAACGACACTACAGCTCTCCGGTTCAATGACCTCCTACACATCAGCAGTGCTGTGGTAGCTCGGTCTCTCAGCGCCGCCATCTTGTAATCCTGAGGCTGCTGGTTCGAGTCCGGGTTGCATCAAGAGGGGCAGCCGGCGTGAAACGATCAGCAAATCTTCACGCGAGTTAACTTTGTGTGGCGAGCCCTGAAGAAGGGAGCAGCCGAAAGAAAAACAAACATTTATTGCACTTGAAGCTTATGCTTTTATTATTAAAGATTAACTAAAAGACACTGACGTGGTGGATGACTAAATTTACAAGGTTTGTTTTTAAGATGTTAAACAACAGTTCTCCGAAAAAGTTAAAGTTTTAACAGAAGTTTTTATGTTCGATGCTGTAAAAAAAATTAAAAAATCACAATAGCCACCGATCCATTGTTTTTGTCATAGGCATGTAACAGCTTATTATTTAGACGCATTGCATTATACAAAATGTAAAAGTCAATAAATAAAAGTTATTGACAAATTTTGAAATGACAGAAAATTGTGTGTGATGGTCAGAACATCTTGGGCTCAGAACCAGTTATGGAGAAACACCAAGAGATTGTGATTGAAGATGATTAAAATACAACTTAGCAGTAGTTTCTGCCTCATTACTTAGCCCGCTGCTTCAATCTACAGTGTCTACACAGGCCACTAGTGATGATGTCATCAAGGTAGAGACTTTAGTTCAGGGCTATTCAACTAAACTGCTCAGGGGGCCACAGTTACTTAAAGCCAAGAGCTCAGGGGCCGGACATCCAGCAGTTATTGTCAATAAGCGTTTTGTGGTTTAAAATCTAGTTTTATTTAAAAATTACCCCATTGATGGGCCGAACTGAGCTCACCCGCGGGCCTGATTTGGCCCCCGGACCGGCAGTTGAATAGCCCTGCTTTTGTTGGACCATCTTTTTCAGTTTGTGTTTACTCCTTTTCAAAATGGATATTATGCATACTGATATTATATTATTCATATTTTGGGGGTAAATTGTGCAAGTCTAGTTCAGGACCCGTAGACACATTTAATTTCTAAAGATTGAGTCAAATGAAATCGATGTCCTTTAAGATCTCCTGCGGTGAGGGGCACGAACGTTGCAGAACGTCCAGCGACAGAGGGACGTGGTGTTGGCAGCGTATTCTCCTCCTGTCTCAAAGGTGTGATGTCCACTCAGAGTTCCAGAAGCCGGGTTAACGCCGTCTTCTTCCTCTTGTGTGTCCGCAGGTTTACTGTAGGAAACCCCTCCATGCGACGACCTCCACCCATCAACCCCCGTGACCCCTCTAGTGACCTTTTTGACTCCTGTGTAGACAACTGGGTGGACCCTCAGATCTATGTCATCTTCAACGATGACCAGAGCTACCCGTACTTTATCATTCACTACGAGGAGGTACCCAACACAGTTGCCATATGAGGCCCACATCAGAACCTGGTGTCAGGACTTTGCAAATGCTCCCCCCGCTCAGTCTGCACACGGTTGGAGCGGTGGAGGACTTTTGTCACATTAAAAGGACGACTAAAGACCAAAAAAGTTTCAAATTGAGGTGAAGACGGCTCCACTGGAATAACTTCATTCATCTTGTACTTGAAGGAGGTGAACTATCAGAAATGTTTGCAAATGCTCAGTGACCCGGCTCTGCAGTCGACTGGATCCAGCAGCTTCAGCTGGAAACGACTGGATTAGCAGACAGAACCCATTTTTTAAGCTTTCGGAGGTTGATGACTTGAGTGGACTTGCATAATTTTAGTAACTGGTTTAAATCAGGAACCTGGTGATGTTTATCGCTTTTTGTTTGTCTTTCTTTTTTCTTTAATTAGAGCAGATTCAGGAAGAAGCAAGCTATTCCCTTTATCCTTTAGTCTGTGGTGTGTGTGACTGTATGTGAACTTGTTTGCAGGGCAAACACTGTTATGGACAGTTAGCTTCCTGCCAGTACTGTGAACAACCAGCTGGGGAAATGATGCTAAAGGCAACGAAACAAACCGGTCGGAAACCTCGTCAGAGTAACATTATCTCTCTGAGCCTAGACAAATTTTTCAACTTTGTGTGTGTGAAGTGCTGAATACATGGATTTTGTGGCCTGCTCAACCAGAGATCAGAGTCTCGGACTTACTGTAAACCTCCTGGCAGAGGGTTCACGTGAAGCTGCTCCTACTTGCCGTTTATTTTATTTTTCCTTTCCTTCGCTCCCACTGATATGGTCCCTCCTGGAGCGACTGAAGCGTGTGTGTGGTCTGTCTGTGCTGCAGCGTTTTTATTTTTATTTTTTTTGGTCAACGAATCAACTGAAGCTCATCTCTGTCTCGCTCAGACAGCAGGTTTTTTTTTTTTTTTCAACAAACTGTACAGGCATTTTCTTTGTTTATATTTTGAACTGTGTGCCTTTTGTTCATAAAATGTTTATTTATGTTAGTTTTAATGTTGACATTGATTTAATAAAGAATTTTAAAAAGCAATTGATTGAATGAGCCGTGTTTGTCCAAATCCTGTTGATTCCGAGAACCGGCCATGGGAATTATAGCATGTGATTTTTTTATTTGTTACATTTTTCAGTTCAGTTTATTTATATCGTGCCAAGTCACAACAGAAGTCGTCTCAGGACACTGAACAGAAACATTCACATATAAAATAATAATTCAAGACTTTTATCTGAGGAGCAGACTGCTTTGAGCTTAACTCCATCACAGACTCTCGTCTTGAGCAAGCATGAAGGCGACAGTGGAAAGGAAAACTCCCTCATGAGGAAGAAACCTTTAGCAGAACCAGCTCAGGACATGCGTCCATCTGCTTTGACCGGCTGGGTTTGGTAGGAACAGATGCACAATGGCAGGTCAAGAATCACATGTTAAGATAGAAATAGCATCAAATGAAAACTTCAATTTAAACAATTAATTTAAGGACATGAGGTCAATTTGTCATCCAGTAGTCTAAGCCTATAGCAGCATAACAAGCCAACCCTAACTATAGGATTTATCAAAAAAGGAAAGCCTTAATCCCAGTCTTAAAACTGGACAATGTGTCAGCCTCATGGACAGAATCAAAGTTGGTTCCATAAGAGAGGAGCCTGACAACTGGAAGATCTTCCATTCTGTTTTTGAAACTAGCAACCACAAGATAGCCTGCATCTGAGAGCGAAGTGCTCCGTTAGGAAAATATGGAACGATAAGATCTCGAATATAAGATGGAGCTAGGTTGTTGAGGGCTTTGTAGGTTAGAAGTAAGATTTTGAATTTAATTCTGGATTTGACGGAGCCAATGGAGATAAGCTAAAACTGGGGAGACATGATCTCTCCCACTAACTCCAGTTAAGACTCTGGCAGCAGCATTTATATTTTATTATGATCCTTAAACATGAAGCCAGTTAGTTCATCTGTGCTGCCATAGTATCCGCTTGTTTCCCGTTCAGTCTATAAAACATAAAAATCCTTAATGCAGCTGAAAGTAAATGCTGCAGTGATCCTTTGTTCCTCCTAAAAGCTCCACAGGGAGTGATAAAAGCAAACGTTGCTCAGTCGGTGCAGCAGCAAAATAAACTGCTCGCCTGAGACGCAAACATGATCTGATTAGCTTACCTAATGATACTCATCAATTGAACTCCCCCCATCGAACAGAATCAACCAGTTTGTTATTAAAAATAACAAATGAAGTTCGATTCAGTCAAGTTTAAAACTCTTTGTGAGACGGAGCAGGAAAACATAACCAGAGCAAAGGCTTAAAATAACTATAAATAAAGCTTTAAACTGGTACAACAAAGAGTCTGCAGAATGATCCCAGGTGGCACTCTCACAGGATGCATTGGGAATGACTCTCTGCTACTACCACCTCACATTTTAGAGCATAGTCTGTAAAACTGACTTTCAGACAGTTTTGTTTGTAGCTCAGCTGATTGTGGCGGCCATCTTGACTCCAAGTGTTTATCAGTGGTAGACGTGCATCCAGTGATTATGTTCTGAAAGTTTCATTAAATGTGTTCAGTGTTAAACAAGATATTTTGCTAACGCATTTCAGACACATTTCATGCGAGTTGCCTGTCTTTGTCTTTCAGCAGTGGGAGATTTATAGTAGATACAAAAGGCCTTTAAAATGGTCCCAACATCAAAAATCAGCAGAAAAGCAACTTGTGCTCTTATTTTTGCAGAAACATGATCGGTGTTAAAAGTTAATGATATAGATGATATAAGGTAATATAATGTATAAATACAGAAAGAAATGTACATCAACATGTAATGTAGAAATGTAAAACAGGTTCATAATCAATCCTTTCTATTTACCGGGTCGTGGGGGGCTGGTGTCAATCGACGAGGTACATCCTGGACAGGTCAGAAGTTCATCCCAGGGCTTGACTAAACATATATATATGTATATATATGTATATATATATATATAACTATATTTAACGTTATACCACATCCATCAGTTTGTGCGAATGGTTTGTCTGATGTGGAGAAGAAGGGGAAGCTCACACTGGGCAGAGAATAGCAGTCGTCATGTTATCCCACTTATCTCCCACTTATCTGAAAACTAAATGCTGTCATCCACTTTTTTATATTTCTTCCGTCTGGGTCTCGTTCAGGTTGATGACTCATTCTTGTTACCATTTGTCTAAGATTTTTTATAATGGAGTTAGCATGCTAAATATAAAAATCCAGGTGAGAAGCTTGTATATGTTTGAAAAGAGACAATAAATTAAACAGTGTTCCAAGTTTTTTGTTCGAAAATGCAAATAATGGACAAGAAGCAAGACTGCGTATGATCAATGAATATGTTACCTGTTGTAGATAGCTCTTTGAATAACCTCAGTTTGAAAAAAAAAAATCATTCTTAAATTTTCATCACATTAATTGTGAGTAGATTTATGAATTTTATAGCCAATTGACTACCGCTGGCATAAGAAGCTTCATTTGTTGAACATGCCTATTTAGAAATCTAAAAACAGGTCATCACAACTCAGTCATGTTTCTACCTGCAGTGCTGTTGGAGCTCAACAGTTAGCTGCTTTTCCTTTGGTTAAAATGGGAGTAAAAGTTGCAGCAACCTCCTGAAGTCCATGTTGAATAAGAAAAATAAAATAATTGATGGCAAAAGAAAAGTAAGTTACAGAGAAAGGCGTCCAGTTATTCAGGAATCCTTACAGGGGTTCAGGAATACCATACAACTTTATTTATAAAGCACTTCAAACAGCAACAAGTTCAAGTAGGTTTATTGTCATTTCTTCGCATGTGGTACATGAGGTGGAACAAAATTATGCACACAGGGTCACAGCTACACCTAACAATAGCAAAAATATAAAGTGTATAAAGAAACAGTATAGAAGCGTATATAAGAGTATATAAGTGTATTACACAATAATGATCTTACACTACACGCTAAACAAATGCCAGACGGTACGCTAAAAGATCCAAGATATATGCTAAACACTAATAATATAAAATAATACAGTGTAACAACGGCAGCCCGAACATGAGTCTGTAGTGAGTAGATGGGTATGAATAAATACAACAGCATGAGATCAGCAGCATGAGATCAGCAGCATGGATAATCAGCAGCACATATCACCAATCAAAGTGGCAAGGCCAGCCAAAGTACTGTACAACAAAAACAAACACGCAAAGGACACAGGATAAAATACATAGATCCACAGAGGTAACGATAAGAACTAAATTACTAACATTATGGAAAACAGACAAGTTAAAATCAACTCACACGGTGTCAAAGGCCAGGGAACAAAAGTGAGATTTCAAAGTAGACTTAAAAACAGGGAGCGGGGAGCCTGCCTGACATGCGGTGGTAACTCGTTCCACAGTTTTGGACCTGCAACAGAAAGTCCTGTCACCTCTGAGGTTTAAATGAGTGCCTGGAACCAATAAAAGCATCTGGTCCGCTGACCTCAGAGAGCGCTGTGGGACATATGGCTGCAGCAGATCAGTGAGATAGGAGGGGGCAGAACTGTTCAAAGATTTAAAAACATACAGAAGTATTTTAAAATTAATTTGAATGTGAACTGGGAGCCAGTGAAGGGAGGCCAGAACTGGAGTAATGTGCTTCCTTTTGCCTGTGTAGTGAACTTGACCTGATGTCAAATCCTTGACCTAAGAACCTTGTGGGACAGAAACTGTCATTTCATTGATTTGAATCCAGAAATACAGGTTCACCCATCCTGAGACTTTCTTTCTTGAAAATTCAAGTGAAAGAACACTCTCTTTTCTATTATCATTACTGTTTTACAAATGTTGATAATCAAAGTGTTTTAGTTCAAACCATTTTAGATGTTGCAGTGAACTAATCAATTTTTATTAACTGTGAAACAGTGTAATGATTTTTTAATCCTCATGCAAAGTTAGAATTCATGTTAAGGCCTGTTACAGAGTAATTATGCATTTTCTGATTTTCTGTCTTTGAATGAGCAGTGTACGTTTGTTCCAAGGTCAGGAGTCGAAGCAGACAAGTGTTGGAACAACTGTCTTGTTTTTAAATCCTCTCAGACGTAAACAGAGAAGTTGGCACCTGTTTCTCCAAACTCGCCCAAACATTTCTCTCGCCTGTCTGGGGAACATTTTCAATCTGTTCCATAACATTCTTGCTGTTTTCCGACTTCTAGTAACCTCTTACGTCACAAACCACACCCCTGTCTGGTCGACATTGACCAATCAGGGACTCCCAAATGAACCGGAAATAGAGCCCTTTAAAATGTCGGTACTTCCTAGTTCTCTCAGGTTTTTCTGTGAGTTGCCGTTGGAGTCGGGCTGGAGAGTTTGCAGCTCCAGTCGTTTGGGAGAACAGAAGTCCAGCCATGATAAGGCTCTTCCGAGATTGGGATTATAACATCTTCCACCTCTGAGTGGAACTCGGACGAACCCCACTCATGTGAGGTCCACTGGCTGAGGTGAACTTGTGTCAGACGGAATATCGTCACTACTTCGGACGAGTCACAGCCATCCTATGGAGACGCTGGACAGGTAGCGTTAACTGGAACTCCGTATCCGCTGATTCATCTTCAGAGAGGTAACGAGTC